AAGTAAAATTTTCAATAAAAAACAAAAACAAGAGCGCGCCCGTCCGTAGGGTAAATCATCGTCGCACCACGACGGCCATAAAATTATATGCTCGATTATTAACGCGACGATCGATATTATTAATGATAATGAGCATACACAGGTTCGCGCGATTACGCGATAACGATTTCGGATACGAACCCACGCCCATTATCCGTGGTATATGTTAACGCTGAATATTCTTCTGCGCTAAGCACATAAAATAATAATCATGCCCGTTATGTTTGCTAATATATTACCGCACGAGTGATCAAGGTGTCGGGTGGTGATGCACGTTTATGAAATATAATATCTATTAGCTGTATTAAGGATGTTATCCAATGTTAACCGGCGAGTGGGAGGTGATAATTTACCAATATACGAGCATACCTGCATACCACCTTTTGTACCACTATAAAACAAAATATACACTACCAAACTAAAAAAAAATCACCGTATTAGGTATAACATTAGATTCGATAAAACATCCAAATAAAATGTATAATCAGCATTCAATATTCAAAAAATATTCCATACTTACATTTTTTTACGTATTGTAAAGAGAACTTAATGTATTTAGGGGAAATTCCACAGTCTACAGGGATGGTAAACCTATTTCCGAGGTCTTTAAAACTGTTTATATGGTTGTACGCAAAAGTAGTCATGAACTAGGTACTAGAGTTTTATACTTTAACCGACTAACCGAATATCTGAACTAAAATATGTCAATATTATAATATTTTGTAATAACAAACATGTTGTATACACGTCATTTACATTTGTGAAAACTATATAGCGGGCGGCTTCATTGAACTGTTTTTGACCCCAAAACTCGAAAATCCCTTAAATAACACTATACAAATTAACCTATTCGTCGTTAATATATTCGTTCCCAAGGCCCGGGATTTTGTTCGTGAGGGGGGGAGTGGAGTTTAGTAAAATTTGTACGCATCAGTGGTTAAATTAAGCACAAACGGCGACATGATACCTTTTTTTTTCGACACGTGTTCACCGTCGAACATTGGCCGGAGGGGAACACGGCGAGGGTCCCCCCACCCCGAAATGACCTCGTAACAACGCGACACCGCATACCAAATGCGTGTGTGCGAGCGAAAACAGCTGAACAAATTATAGTCTTTTTTTTTTTACTCTTTTAATTAGAAGGATTCGTCCGATAAAAAAGAATAATATAAGAATATCGCATTGTGACGACTACATTATGTGTGTGTGTGTGTGTGTGTGTGTGTGTGTGTCCTCTTCACTCCTACCACATCGACTATAGCCTTCACGACCGCGAGCGCCCAACGTCACGCAGTGCAGTTTTTTCGGGAGGTTTGACTTTGGCTTCACCGGCGCCCGTTTAGGTAGGTATTTATAATTATTCCGTCAACACTATTCCAAACGATGCTGCCACGAAAGTTTCGTCGAATACATGTCCCGACAACGCATCGATGGTGATCTATACTCTACCAATATTATACAGATACCGTTCGGGAGAGAAAAAAACACCACATTACATGTTTTGTAATCACACGACATATCAAACATAAAATAATAATGTTATACAGAAAAATATCGGAGTGTACGAAAAAATACCGAATTATATTATTAATATAGTTAGGACGGTTTTTAAGAATTCAAATGCGATAATAATATAGTACACCGAACCAAAATGTATAGGTATATTATCAGTTTCACGAGCCCGGCTCATTATTTTAAACGATGGTCATTAAGTAGGTACTATTTTAATTGCAATACGTTTGTCAGTGAGAAAAAAACTTTTACGATGGATTTCTTGTTTGCCTTTTAACAAACCAATTAGTAATAACAATTATTATTATCATGATTATTATTTTTACGAAGTAAAGAAGTTAATGTATTCCAATGAATAATAAAAAAAACCTGTTTACATTTAGTTGACAATTTAATATTGTAATAAAATATTACATATTTTTAATAAGGCTTTTTTATAATTTAATTATAAATGTTTGAAAACGTGACCATCAAACAACACAATTACGTGTGACCAAACGGATTTCTGAATATGAAAATGTTTTAGGAAACTGATCATACATTTTTAAAATTCAAATCAGAAAGTAACTACGAGTTGTTTTTTAATATATAAAAACAAAATGGAGCGCTACTTGTAAAAATATTACACAGGGAATTGACCTAACTCGTTTCCCGAGTCATAAAGTCTTCTTTTCAGATAACTATTTTTAAATTACCAACTGGTTCATCAGAAAAAGCCATTTTTAGTTCCACTCCTACAACACGCTATCTTCAATTTACAGAACGTCATAAAATTAATAGGACACTATAATAAAATTATTATTCGGGAACATTACGTGTGCACACACATACACGTCACACAGGCACACACACACAATATACATACATACAACATACATACATCACACACACACACACAATATACATACATACATCACACAAACCCAGTCACAAGCATTTAATGAATACGTGAAAGGTATTTATACACATAATATATTATATTACAATTATTAATAAAATCTTATTAGTTATTACACACATATTTTTGGCAATAAGCGGAGGGGAGAGGTACAATTTAATTCACCGCCTCTAGTGTGTAACCTAACCAGCAGTTTACCCAGGACCGGCCTCTTTGGGCGTTATATATGACGATTGCGTATAATTTATACGGGATTTACCTACCATCATCGTCGTTATTGACAGACACCACTTTTTGTTTTTACATTTACAATACTCGTCGAAACTGGAAATTAGATAAATAACACGAAGCCAAAAGAAAATGTTACACGGATTGGTATCGCACAATAATTAATTGGAAACATTACAATTCGTATATTGTAATATTTGTTATTTAGGGTTCAGTTTCTCATATTTGGAAAGTTACAGCATAGGATATAATATGGTCCAATTTCTAGTAAGATTTTATTTGTCTCCCGCAAAGTCATAAGAATTTATCTCAAAACGACAAAAAACAAAATGATATAGATAGGCTTCCTTTAGGATTTTTACCGTTATCTACCCCTCAATTGAACCGTCAACGTGATTTACAATCGAAAATAACCTGCGTGTGTTATTTTTTTGACAAATACATAGTTTAAACGTGGACTCCCAAAAACATACTCCTAAAAATCACGTCCTATAAAAACAATTTGGACCTTTGGGAGAGTATATACGCCTGTCTGGCGATTCCTGTTCGATTGAGTGGCTGCTACTATGAAGTCTGGAAATCATCTGAAAATCGTATTTTATCGAATTCACCGAAGTACTAAAACGTGTTCGACATATAATATATAATATGTGTAATATTATAAACATTACTATGTTACGGTGTAACCGGCGAAAAAGGTTGTCCTTTATATTATACAAAGAGTGAAACACACATAAGCTAATCATGTTGCATTTTTTTTTTGGATTTTAGCCAAAAACAAAGCGTGGGGCGATTATTTTCGAATTCGCTACTGGTGAAAAATATAACGACCAAACGTTCATAATGGTAAATACATACGGTTGGTCGGACATGAAAAGCTAGTGTTTAATTATTTATATTATTAGGTAGGTTATCTTTATTTAACTTAACGTGAGTAAAATACCAAAATATATTTACCGAAACATACCTAATATCATATCAAAAACATTTAAAAAACTTGAATAAAATACTTACACTCCAGCAGTCAATGGCATTTTTAAAAAGTTCATTTTTTATGAGAATATACTAATAATTGATACGTTATAAATTGCAGCCGTTTAAAATATTATATCTTATAAAAGTAAAAAAAAAAATTGTTTTCTTCTAAAATGTATATTATTATAATGATTAAGATTGATGATGCGTTTCAAGACAACCGCTCTACATTTATAAAGTCTAACAATATTTCGGAATAGAAACCAGTTTTTAATTTGGTAAGATATAGAATATTTAAACATCAAATAAATACATACTATAAGTAAATAAATTATTAACTACCTACCTATATGTATTTAGTATTAGTTTATTAAATTATTTGTGCATATTAATTAAAAGATAATATTTTTTGGCTTTTATTAATAATTATTTTGCTTTAGGTATTATGACATAAAAGTGATAGAAGAAAAAACTAATAAAACAATCTTAACGAATTAACTAAAACCTAACTAAAATGATAACTAAGTAACTATACGAATATATATAATATTAATGGTAACGAAGTTTGGAGACCTGATGAAAAATGAATAGTGATAATATGATAATAACATGACAAGTCAGAATGAAAATTAACCTAAGTTGGGCGTGAAAAATGGTATGGAGTAATAAACGTGTTTTAGATAAAACATATTATCTAGTTTATGAAACAATATGAAATTATAAATCATAATTAATTGCCTACTTCTAATATAATATGTTATGCACAGGATTTTATATAGGATTCACCGTTTTAAATACGTACACCTATATTATATAATTTTCGTGTCGATAACCGGTGCAATTGTCGGATTGTCACCAGTTGCCTTTTTCAAAGCACGATTGGGAATAGTGCGGGACCACCCGACCACTTGTTGCGTGTAAAAAACAGCTGGCACAACGCCTCGATAGCAATATATGACTTCTCCATTCAAACGATTCATGATATTACCCTACGGGTCGGAGTTAAAATAATAAAAAAACGCTCTTACACACTAAAACTAATCAGCTAAAAATATCATAAGTATTGTGATTAATACCAAATTAGTAAACTATGAATAATGTCTAAAAATAATTTTTTTTTTTTAATTATTGTCTAAAAACTAAAAATAAGACACCGGAACCGATAAATTTCCAAAATTCCGTCAGAAGTTTATTCTCCACACAGGGTAGGAAAATCGAAACGGGGACGCACTTGGTACGCTATACATACGTATAATATTTACAACTAATATATTTGGCTATTACTAGAAGTACAACTTAAACCAATAATATAGACAAGTACTAAAACTACTAATTACTAAATACTGACCTCCCACATCCAATCAACCACGATCTTCCTGAGGTTGGCAGTGAGGTCCGTCTGGACGGTCGCCAAATAGTCGGGAACCGGCAAGCACCTGACCTCGGACTTGAGCATGGTCTCGAACACGCGGTCGTCCAGCAGCAGTGTCGGGTCCTTTTGAGCGACGCTCTTCGAAGTCGATTCGCAACACAACAGGTCCATGATTGATACGATTTTGCAGTGAATATATCTGAATCGATGTAAATATTATGGTGTAGGTATATGCGTGTGCGTGGTTATGCGCGAGCGAGGTGGACACCGTTCGGCGAGAAGGAACAGAAAACCACGAGATTATTGTTTTAATTTAGAGAACAGATATTTTTTTTCAATTGGAAAAAAAAAATTGATCGACTTGCGACAGAAGATCGACGACGACTGAGACGTGGTAATACGCGCGGGTACGGTATACGACAACGGCGTGTGTGTGTGCGAGTGGAGGAGCTTATGCGTAATGAAAGCGCGTTGAAACGTCCGAACCCGGCAACGGACCAGGTCAGAATGCGTGTGTGCTGCGCTCGTCGTCGGTACCGAATCAGTATCAGTGGGACAGTATTTGTGCGTGCGTGTGTGGTTACGGTGTGTTGATGCGCGAGTGTGTGCGTGCATGCGTTCATGTGTGTACACGTGCGTGTGTGTGGGTATGTATGTGACGTGTGTGTGTGTGTGAGTGTCTACGTATAGCGCCGGCGAACCGTACACAGTCAAAGGAGAGGCGCAACACACACACGCGCACATGTAGGTACACTTGCCCACGATCGCGTTTACACACACTCGAACACGGACGCGCGCGCGCAGGCAGACCCTCGACCGTATGCGGTGGTAGGTCCCACCAGCGATATATAAAAATTCTTTCACATGCCGAAAAAAAATAATAATAATAATAATAATAAGAATAAATAAAATACGAACGAAAAAACCCAGGACAGCCGCTGAAGCACCGGTTTCGTGTCGTCGTGTGAGCGAGTGCGGGAGAGAGAAGGAGCGACAGCACGTGAGAATGAAAACGAGAGTGTGGGGGGGCACCGTATACGCATTACAAAAATTATTATTATACAATTACCGCCGCCGTGTATATTGTATATTATACATATTATTACATAGCCACATCTATAGGTAGGTATATACAGCGTACCTATACACCGTGCACCAAAGCACATCAAACTCTATACCGTAACCGCTGTATACCACGTCACTACGTCTACAGCGGTTAACGCATATATTATTATTATAATATTATGCACACGTCATTCGATTTTTCCGTATTATACAGCCAGGAAACATTCGTCAACTCAAATAGATGAATAGTAGGAGTCCCGAGAACTGGAAACGTCGCATGTAAACGATGTATAAAAATCTTTATTTTTTTTACCAAAAACCAAAACTATGGTCAGTGTCTTGAAAAACCATTTTGTACCATTGGTACGAGAAAATTGGGCTTATGAGAATACCAAGTATCCGTATTGACTTTAGTATAGTATCAACAGTCCTAGGTACTCATTATATATAGCAACAAACTACTTTACACCAACATTTAGGTTTTATAGTGCAAATATATTATAGGTACAAGTTGAGAGATTAATCACAGTTTTTCCAAAATATTTTTGACCACGATAATCAAGTTTTGATGCATTTTTCGAGTTTGTAACGTCGTATTAGCTTATTCACCATTTAAAAACAACAACTTTTTTTACAATTTTTAGTCTTTGATTATTGTAAAATGTAAAACTTCCCATTTTTTATATTTTTTTCAAGTCTTTAAATATAACAAAACGTCCTCGTGTTAAACAAACACGACCATCGAACAATTTGTTTTTCAAGGCTTTTATTCAAATACATCTGTTTACAATAATAACGCAACGAAAAAAAAACCCATTGAATAACAGAAAACGTCGTAGTTGTCGTCCGTCGATAACAGGACCGGTCAAGGTTAAAACTGTATAATCCCTGTACTAAATAGTAAAATATATTAAAAGCCTATCAAGTCATTTTTAACTATACTTGAAAAATCACTTTTCTCCTTAGTCGCTTAGTCATTAAAGACACTTATCGGTTCGACCAAATGTACAATTTAATATTTTAATTCATTTTTTTTACATATCTCCCACAACTGCATTGACAAAAACGTGTTGAGTCATACAACATAAAGTTCAAACACAATGGCTTTGAGATAACCAAGTATAATATATTAATATGATAAACTGTGGTTATCATATTATTTTATTTTATCATATTGGAGATTAAATATTATAGTATTTTAATTTTAGACATTTTATTAGTAGAGTGTAATTTGAGTTTTAACCACATGTATGACAACCTCATGTCGACAAAGTCGAACAATATTTAGAAACATGGTATATAAAAACGATTACCACACCGTTCCACCGATTTTAATGCGAGGCGTGCTCAATTATGAAAGGCGCCCTTTAGAGGCACCTTTATTCGCTTTTCAGACACTATTTTCAGCCGACAACGGAGATAAACTCTTCGATATTTTGGAAGAAATGAACCTTAATATGACAATGATGGACGAGAAAAGTGACCTCCTCCCACAGTTCAAATCGATGCGTCAATAATATGTTCCGGGAGTCTTTAGGTAGTCCTACTATACTAATAATTTCAGTATTTTTCACACAGCACAATAATAATGTGCATATCGTGGGCGTCGTCGGTACAATATAGTCATACTGAATTTTTCCGAGAAAAATAGACAATGCAATATGAATTAGATTAACGTTTGTCGCACATATTATTATTATTATTGGGATTGGGTCAGATATTATAATATAGGTCGTATTGTAGGTGGTGAGTATAGTGTGGTGCCCGAAAGTAATTGTTGGCGACGCAACGTTTGTGTATTATATTATATATTATACAGGACGTCGCGGTTAAAGTATATTATATCGAGTCGACCGATGGCAATAAAACGCCATCGTCGATTTTCTTTTGTAGTGTAATTTTATGGGAAATACTTTTACGGTGTGAATAATAATACAAACGCGCCCGTAATAAATTACACTATGCGTCGTGGTTTCGATTTTCAAAGGGAATCGTATAACTGCATAATAATAATATCGTCGTTGTACAGTAATAAGCCGTAAACTGACGAACGAATGGCTCCGAGCCCCCCGAATGTACCTACCTACCTAACCTATATTAGTGATATTATTGTATTGAAATTAAGGCTCGGTAGTTGTAAGAGTTTGCATGTCTGTCTGTATTACCCGCAGACCGAGCTAGACCAATCATTCTACGTAATATTATAATATTATAGGAATATGTACACGATATAAGTTTAAAAACGTAAAATATTATATAAAATGCATGTTAAGTCAATTTTAGAGAAGAAGTTCGTTTTGTATATATATCTCTATGCAATTTTAATATTTTCTAAAAAAAATTATGTTTTTCTTTTATTTACACAAGTGCCTATATATCCGCGTATAAGTGTTTTTTACTCAATTTTCAAAACGTGGGTGTTTTGTTTTCCTACAGATTTGTTGCTAAGTAGAAGGAGCCCATTATTTCACTGCCTAATACAGTAATAGGCAATAAAATCAGACTTTTTGATACGGTCTGACTACGGTATAGGTATAGTGTATACCTATGCCACAACCACATAATATTATTATTATTTGTATCCAACAAGTTTTCTCACAAAATACCATTAGTACTTTTAATACAAAAGTAATTTTGTAATCTACTAATAATCCATTATGTAAGTATCTAACTAATAATTATTAGTTATTTTTTTTCTTATTTTTTATGTGCATTTTTCATTGATTTTAACTTCCAGAGTATTTCTGAACCCTAACAAATTATGATTAGGGCCCGGATGTTGATCCACAAAAACTTATACAATTCCTTAAAAAATTGTAGAATATGATAATGACTTAAATATTTATAAAACGTAACAAATAAAATAACTTACGTTAGTAAAATTATTTATTGATTTTAAAATTTATTACAGTCACAATTTAATATAAACTGGTTTTAATCAGGAAAACAATTAAAAAATGTTGTTTGAAGTATTATTCGTAATAGGTAGGTAATATTAAATTAGTCAATTGGTGGATAATACAAAATATAATAATGATAAATAATTAAGTCGCAATTTTTCAATTAATCGTTAGAGAAAAAAAAAATCCCTAAAACTAAAAAAAATACCTTAAAAGTCTCATAAATGGCCTAAGAGGCTAAAAATGACGAAACAATTCAAAAAATACACAATAAAAAGCAGGTAAGTGGATGCCGCTCTGCTGTACAGTAGGTTATAAGTGGATCAATGTATAATGGATTGTATTAAACTATTTAAACTTGAATTCAATGATATAATATAATTGTATAAGAAAAACGTATCTGAGCGGGTACGATTTGTCAGTCTGGGTTTTTTATTTTGTTATAATTTATTATAATTTGTATGTTGAATTAATATTATAATATTATTATTTTTTATTCGTTGCTATGATGATAAACAAAGAGTTAGAAATTAAAATCCCATTTTTAGCGGTTTTTCGTAATTTGTAGGTAGTTTTTCTCTTGGCATTAAAATATAACTATTGAGAAAAATGACGTCTCTGAAGTACCATCTCGAGTCAATTTGCTAAAAGATAAGGTACTGTTGAAATATATTAAATATTTTGTGTGTTGAAATCCAAGCACTCTTCCTGGTAGATATTTTGTATACAGGATAAAAAAAAAACACACACACCATTGTAAAACCAATGCATTCATCGCTCCGTCAGAATCTAAAATTAGTTATGTAAATTCATATGTTATTGAAACACATTTTAAGTTATGAAAGCATCGGTCTATGATTTTCAAAAAAAAGATGCAAAAGTCATCAACATAAAATAGAAAATACGTAGAGAGGAAGTACGCAGTACAGACGGTACGAGTACAATAAGTAAATAGGCAAATATAGTATGCATACAATAATAATTATTGTCTATTGACAACAAAGAAAAATTGTATCTGTTCGTTTGGTCGGTGTAGACTGTAGGTAATAATATTACATTGTACATATTTTGTACAATGTAGGTATATATAGTAGGTACACGCGATTGCGTCGCCATTACTTTTAAATAATAAATTATTATACAATAAAATAATTAATATTATGTGTGTGTACAAGACGTTAAAGACTGTGTGTATAATATTATTAGAGCCACGCTATACGTAGGTTGCAGGTACCTACACCGGTGGAAATAAAATTGACGACGTGCAGGCAGCAATGCAAAACCAACGTTAGCACTCATTAAACACAATAATATTATAATTTATAACATGGGTACCGAAACCAATGTCCAAAACTACTGAATATTATTATGCAATACGCTTTATATATTATACAAAAGCACATATCATTATAAACGGTCGATTACAATAATATGAAGCGCGTCTTTGATAGCTGGCTGGCTAATAAACACAATTGTATTCTCATAATAATGTGCGCTACACACGATAGTATGTATTCCGGTATTGTATATTATATATGTATAGGTTTTCCAACTGTTGATTATTTAAATGAACGTTTCGCTGTGGCCCGGTGACACTGGATGTGACACCAAATTCGATAATTTACGACGAAAACTATTTAATGAGCGCACAACATTCGTCGTTATGTTATGGGACTTTCTACACGCATCTATCGTGGTTGCAGTCTTACGTATTTTACGTAATATAAACATTGTATTATATTATTATGCTCGTCGGGAGCGTTATTTTAAATTACAATATATCAGGCACGTTAAAACAATGTTTTTTTTTTTATTTCCATGCGCACATACACATAATAATAATAATAATATAATGTTATATAAACCGAATCGAAAATATATTTCACCAAACTGTTTAAGGCTATTATTCACCATAGCAAGCGCTACGTATTTTGTTTGAAATAAAAATATAATAAATATAATTATAATGACGAAACGCTTCTTTCTATTAAACGTAGGTAGGTACTTATATACCTACTTCGTTAAACAGTTTCTGATACAAAAAACGTCGTAAAAACGTATTATTAGTTTACATTATTATGGTAATAGTTAACCATTAAGTTAAGTTCACATTCTCCACTCTCGCTCAATTAGAGCCGATTTTTTTTTTCTTTAATGCGTATTATAACGAACGTTCTTTATAGTTTATACTAACCTCAGAGATATTTTCACGTCAATGTGAATTCAGTGTTTTATTAGATTATATCGAAAATAATAAATTCAATTGTTCGACTGCATGTAGGGCTCGGGCAAAGCACACGATATTATTATAAATAGGTTACCTTAATGTATTTAAATATTATGTTACTTAAAAGTATGCGTTTGATGTATTTCAAGGTGATGAAACGAAAAACTAAAATATTTCACAAAATAGTATTGACCGCTTTCTGTGTATTGTGCATTGACACCTATGTCGTGTGTGTATATAAAAAAGAAAATACAATTCGTACAACCGTGAAAATAATTTCATGATAATATAATATTTTATCAAACTATAATATGACAAAAATACGGTTCAACATTGTATCGTTCTAGGTTCTATATGACGTGATGAAAACGCATTATTTAATATCATATCACAAATACATCACACATGATAGTTAGTAGGTGCGGCAGATAGGTACACACACGTGTTTAATATTTACGTCGTAATGTCGGCTGATAATACTACACAATGCATTTAAAAATATCATGAATATAACTTATAATAATAATAATATAAGTAAAGACGGTAAAGTTTTTTGACTTGTACAGTTCTATGGCTATGACTTATGAATAAGTCTAATTTGTTACCGTTCCAATGTTACAGCTGTACACACGGGCACAGTTGTATATGAAATAAACTCGGTAAAAGATTATTCAACTACCTAATGTGAATTATATTTGACAAAATAATATAGTGACTATATATTATTATTCAATGAAACTGTACACGAATCTTTTGGACAAAACCTGTTTTACACGTAAAAAAGGGTCCACGGCATATATATATATATATTGTTATTTATGTTACGAAGAATTCAAGCTACAAGGGACTTATAACAGAAACTTGTTTTCGTTCTCAAGACGCTCAGTGATTTCCATAATTATCAACCAAACACCTCCGCCAGAATTAGTGATGCTAATTGAGTTACAAAGAACGAAATCAAGAGGGGGGAGGGGGGTACTCAGAGGAGTATAATATATTGTTAAAGTTGCTATTCGGGTAGCTATAATAGAAACCTAACCTTTCACAGAGGTCAACAATATGCAAGACGCACTTAAAAACAATGAGATTAAAATTCTACATTTTAAATTGATAATTGATTATTATTAACAATTGACCTTTTTAATGGTTATGATGTATTATTAGTTGAGCTACATAAAATAATATTTATTTTTAGACTGGAGGACTGCTGCAAACTATAATATTACTCGTACGAGGGTACCTATTTTAGTGATTTAATTTTATGACTTATATGGAAATGGTTGAAATTTAATAGTATAAAGTAGGTACTAGGTACAGTATACAATATTCATATTACGTATAATACCTTGGGCAGGTGCTTCATTTCAGTTTTTTTTCCGAGATTTTTTCA